GGAATTACAGCGCGTGGAATTGCAGCGCGTTAAATTACAGCGCGTGGAATTACAGTGCGTAGAATTACAACGCGTCAAAATTCAACGCTGTGAAATTCCACGCGTCGAACTACAAAGCGTCGAATTACAGCGCGTGGAATTACAGTGCATACAATTGCAGCGCGTGGAATTACTCGCCATAGACAGAGATGTATCTTTCCAATAAATAATTAGATATCAAAGTATTCACCAGCCTACCAAAAAGTATAGAAACCTTCTCTCCAACAGAGAGTAATTAATTTCTTCTGTCAAAATATTCCACCCGAAAGAAAAACCAGAGAAAAAAAAGAGGCAAGTCAATAACAAAAAATAGCAGCGTACACTTTCTACCGATGGAATTTCAGTTGAATTTACCGAAAGGCCAAAATGCAACGAAGCAGCAGGGTTGGGCCGAAAGAAACACGTACATAGACACATATAAGTTTCGTTGGTGTCGACGCGTGGGCCAAGAAACGTGGTCGGAGCTGCTTTCTACGCGCGGGCGAGAAATGTTTGTTGCACACGCAGCCGTTGCACATGCACCACGGGCCACAGGGATAGCTTGAAACGCGGCCGATACAAATTTTATGCGTTACTATCACCCACATACGCTTCGATATTATTGGATCGAATAATTTATACCGTTGTCCGCGTTCGTAATGTAGCCGCCGAGAATGCATTACGTTTCGTCGGCCTACAGTAGGCTCTCGTTATATTGCCTCATTTATGGGGACTTTCGCGTGTATGAAACGGTGGCCTTTCACCGTTATCGTACTAGGAGGAGATTTATGAATGTCGAGGAAATCTTTTTATGGATGTCGATGGATTGTTAGATGTTCTATGTTTATAAGTTGTATTTCGGCTGGTTATATTTCGGGGCGTTGCATTTCACAACGCTGAATTCTGACGCGTTGTAGTTTAGCGCGCTGTAATTCCACGCGTTGTAGTTCGACGCATGGAATTTCACAGCGTTGAATTTTGACGCGTTGTAATTCTACGCACTGTAATTCCACGCGCTGCAATTCCACGCGTCGTAATTCTACGCACTGTAATTCCACGCGCTGCAATTACACGCAGCAATTCCACGCGCTGCAATTCCACGCGCTGCAATTCCACGCGCTGCAATTCCACGCGCTGCAATTCCACGCGCTGCAATTCCACGCGCTGCAATTCCACGCGCTGTAATTCGACGCGTTGTAGTTCGACGCGTGGGATTTCACAGCATTGAATTTTGACGCGTTGTAATTCTACGCACTGTAATTCCACGCGCTGCAATTCCACGCACTGTAATTCCACGCGCTGCAATTCCACTAGCTGCAATTCCACGCGCTGTAATTCGACGCGTTGTAGTTCGACGCGTGGGATTTCACAGCATTGAATTTTGACGCGTTGTAATTCTACGCACTGTAATTCCACGCGCTGCAATTCCATGCGTTGTAATTCTACGCACTGTAATTCCACGCGCTGCAATTCCACTAGCTGCAATTCCACGCGCTGTAATTCGACGCGTTGTAGTTCGACGCGTGGGATTTCACAGCATTGAATTTTGACGCGTTGTAATTCTACGCACTGTAATTCCACGCGTTGTAATTCCACACACTGTAATTCGACGCGTGGAATTTCACAACACTGAATTTTGACGCGTTGTAACTCGGTGCGCTGTAATTCGATGCGTTGTAATTCGGCGCGTTGGATTTCAGTGCATTATAATTCCACGCATTGCATTTCGATGCCTCGAAATTTGGAACGTTGTATTTTGACGCACTGTATTCCAGAATGTGGTATTTCAACGCACTGCACTTAACCGCGATGTATTTCAGTACATTACCCATCATTCATTAACACATCCACCATACCCCAATAATTCTTGATAACATAATTCAAACTTATTCCAATATTTACCCATATTGACTCACAACATCCATTAGCTACGAAATAATTCAATATTCCTTGCTACTACCATCACTTCCATTACAAATACTTTGAAGAACATTCAAGCTAATATTCCTGAAAACACCATAAAAACTTCTAATTTTAATACCTGTCGTACTACACAATTTTTACACCATTCCGATTGCAAAACTGAGAATGACATATCTGAGAAAATCGTTTCCTAAGAAAATTTCTGCATAAAATTGCAGGCTGCAGTAAGGCCGAAGTTTGACAAACTAATTGAATCCTGTCGAGTTTCTATTGAACACAGGCTTAAAAGGATGATCGCTCGGAACACTTACGCCGGTATAAATCAAGCTGTTCCCACGCGTGAAAATCTGAAACGATGTTACGCAAAGAGGCTGTTGGTCAGGCTCTCCTATTCGGAGGCGAACCCTCTCCTACGGTTTGCCTAGTAAATCATTTGGTGGCGTGACCGTGTGGGTGGTTGTGTTCACGGGAATATACGTGGAATTTTTGTTTCGAGGGAATTTGCAGGCTGCTAATGGCATCGCGACGCCCACGGGACATCGAGGCTAGGCAACCTGTACCGGTATCGCGTGCTACCGCGTAAGGCGAGGCAGCCAAAGGAACTGGCTACCCACCACTTTTCCCTCCTACGATTAAACACGAGGAAACCGATCCGAATGGCAATCAACCCGACACGATCCCTTCGAATTCGCGGACCTCTGAACGCGTCAATCATTCAGGCCTTTTATCGTCCATTAAATCGTCACCGAGACACGTCGACGGTGTTGCGGTAACGCTGCCATCGATGAAATACCAAAATGTACTCAGATAGATTACGCGTTGTTTGTCTAGTTCGACTTGCAAAGTTTAATGGCTTGCAGAGTTGGGAATTTCAGATATGTTAGGTATGAGGATTTCAGATATGGTGGGTTTGGGATTTTGGAGAGATGCTGGGATTTGAGAAGGTTGGGACTTGGAATTGGGATGTGATACCTGGGAACTTGGGAATTGGTTGTTTGCTAGTTTGGACGTTGAGAAGTTTGGAAACTTAGGAAGCTGGAAGCGAAATTTGGGAATTTGCAAAATGGTCACTTGCAAGTTTGAACGTTGAGAAGTTTGGAAACTTAGGAAGCTGGAAGTGAAATTTGGGAATTTGCAAATTGGGAATTTCAGATATGTTAGGTATGAGGATTTCAGATATGGTGGGTTTGGGATTTTGGAGAGATGCTGGGATTTGGGAAGGTTAGGACTTGGAATTGAGATGTTACACCTGGGAACTTGGAAATTGGTTATTTGCTAGTTTGGACGTTTGGAAGTTTGGGAACTTAGGAAGCTGGAAGTGAAATTTGGGAATTTGCAAATTGGGAATTTCAGATATGTTAGGTATGAGGATTTCAGATATGGTGGGTTTGGGATTTTGGAGAGATGCTGGGATTTGAGAAGGTTGGGACTTGGAATTGGGATGTGATACCTGGGAACTTGGGAATTGGTTGTTTGCTAGTTTGGACGTTGAGAAGTTTGGAAACTTAGGAAGCTGGAAGAGAAATTTGGGAATTTGCGAATTGGTCACTTGCAAGTTTGAATGTTGAGAAGTTTGGAAACTTAGGAAGCTGGAAGCGAAATTTGGGAATTTGCAAAATGGTCACTTGCAAGTTTGAACGTTGAGAAGTTTGGAAACTTAGGAAGCTGGAAGTGAAATTTGGGAATTTGCAAATTGGTCACTTGCAAGTTTGGACGTTGAGAAGTTTGGAAACTTAAAAAGTTGAAGGAAATGAAATTTGGGAATTTGCAAATTGCTCACTTGCAGGTTTGAACATTTGAAAGTTCGGAAACTCAGGAGTTTGGAAAGTTGAAAATTTAAAATTCAATAAATTGTGACTTCAACTATTTGAAATTCTTACACGTTTCAAGACTTACTAAAAAATTTATAATTTTGAAACTTGAACACTTCGATAGAGAATTTGAAGAGCTGGAAATTAAGGATTTACGAAACCAAAATTTGACAATTTAAAAGCTTGACGATACAAACATTAAAACTATTAAAATTAAGTCAGTTTTTTTGAGATCGAGTGTCGAGTTCGGTGCATTCGATTGTTCGAAGCAATCGATCGACCAACTGGATCGACGTATTTCTCTCGAACGAGTTCACCTACGCGTGGTTAAAACAGCTCGAACCAACGGAGCCCCTTAAGGATTCGACTCGAATTCGCCGGTAATCGTATTCAAAGATAAGAAGGGAAAAGAGACGCGTTGATATCGTGACGAGACTGCAAATTCGTTCCGATGCAACTTTTTTCCGCGATGCAATTATGCTAGGCGACGGAACTTCTCTTCGATTTATATTCCTGTTGGGTACAGTTGCGTGCAACGATAGCTTTTCTTGCTTTGAAGAGTGGTATACGGAAAAGAGACTCAGTTGAGTGCTCGGTTTTCTTCGGTAGAGTTCGGATTACCTCGACGGTTCGATTATGCATTTTGACGTGTTAAATTTCGCAGCGCTGAATTTTAAAGCGCTGTAATTCGACGTGTGGGATTTCACAGCGCTACATTGTGATCCGTTGTAATGCGGCGCGTGGAATTTCACAGCGCTGAATTTTGACGCGTTGTAATTCCCCGCACTGTAATTCCACGCGTGCAATTTTGACGCGTTGTAATTCGACGCGTGGAATTTCACAGCGCGGAAGTTTGACGCGTTGTAATTCCACGCACTGTAATTCCACGCATGGAATTTCACAGCGCTGAATTTTGACGCGTTGTAATTCCACGCGTGGAATTTCACAGCGCCGAATTTTGGCACGTTGTAATTCGACGCGTGGGATTTCACAGCGTTAAATTTTGACGCGTTGTAATTCCACGCATGGAATTTCACAGCGCTTAATTTTGACGCGTTGTAATCCCACGCACTGCAATTCCACGCGTGGAATTTCACAGCGCTGAATTTTGACGCGTTGTAGTTCCGCGCACTGTACTTCCACGCGCTGTAATTCGACGCGTGGAATTTCACAGCGCTGGATTTTGACGCGTTGTAATTCGACGCGTCAGTGTGATGACCAAATTTTGTAATATAAACGAGTACTCACGTCTTTGCTAGGCACACAGAGCGGTGTTCCTTCTTTCACGATTCCTGCCTCGACCATTACACCCATAACGATAGGATCACGAGAGTTGTAGATATGCTGTAACAAATGCATTTTAAAAAGAAAAATATATCACGTTGAGCAACAGTAATCCCCATGACAATTAATACGCAAACATATTGAAGGAAGTGAGGGTCAACTTTATCGATCTTTACTTATCCGAATTGCTAATATCGATACTAAAAACTTGATCTATGTCATAGTTTTAATAATCATTCAAGTAATTTAAATTTATACAATTATCTTGGTCATGGCAGTTCGATAATTTCGATTCATTTTGGTCAGGATGATACGTACCTGTGGTAAAATGCGAAGTTTGCATGGAAACACGGCGATATGCTTGTTTTCGTTCCGTTTACGTTGCTTCAGTTCCTCTCTGTAAGCGGTAAACTTATCGAAGAGGTGATAAATAATGTCTGCCTGGAAGATCTTCACTCCCAGCGAGTCTGCCAATTCTTGTGCGTCTCTTTCGATCTTCACGTCGAACGCGAGGATCGTTGCATATCTATCAAAAAACAGGTTTAAACATTTGCGTTAAATCTATCGATCGATTATTTACTCTCTAATTACGTTCTGAAGCAAGAATATTAGTATTCCAGTCGATGTTAATCTACATTTCACGTTTGTTCCTTCGCTTGAAATAGTTACTGCAGGGATCAGCTTTATACAGTAGACTTTCGTTATATTGCCACTTTTCATTTTCGTAAGTTTCATCATTTTTAGAAGTTTGCTATGTGTTATGTTACCATGCAGTGCATTGCCACGCGTTGTATTGCTACATATTATATTACCACGCATTATATCGCCACGCATTGTATTGTCACGCTTTGTATTGCAACATATTATATTACCACGCATTATATCGCCACGCATGGTATTGTCACGCATTGTATTGCCATGCATTTTATCGCAACGCATTGTATTGCCACGCGTTATATCGCCACGCATTGTATTGCCACGCATTATATCGCCACGCATTATATCGCCACGCATTGTATTGCCACGCGTTATATCACCACTCACTGTATTCTTACACGTTATATTACCACGCACTATATCGCCACGCACTGTATTACTATGCATTACATTACCAAACTTTATATCGCCACGCATGGTATTGTCATTCATTGTATCGCCACACATTGTATTACCACGCGTTATATCGCCGCTCACTGTATTCTTACACGTTATATTACCACGCACTATATCGCCACGCACTGTATTGCTATGCATTACGTTACCAAACTTTATATCGCCACGCATGGTATTGTCACGCATTATATCGCCACGCATTGCATTGCCACGCGTTATATCGCCACTCACTGTATTCCTACACATTATATTACCACGCACTATATCGCCACGCACTATATTGCTACGAATTACATTACCACACTTTATATCGCCACGCATTATATCGCCACGTTAGAAATTTACTCGTTAGAGACCGCATTTCAATTCGTGGCAATATAACTAGAGTCTACTGTAATGCAAATGTAATTAAAAGCGATAATTAGGACGTTTAAATAATTATTAGAATTCACAAAATATTATTAAAACGTAATTGATAATCACAGTCTATGTTAACAAACATAATTGTAACATTTTATCAGATAAATTACTAGATACATATGTATTCCTGAAGTCATCAATTTTAAGACTTAAATAAAATAAGTTCACTGTAATAAAAATGTTATGCAATTATTTAAAACTATGGAAGTATACTTACTGACTGTCGTGTTCCAACATAATAGAAGCCTTCATAACATCTTTCTTGACAACAGGACCGATACGAATTCCAGCGTACTGCAAAAAAGAGAAGTTTATCGTGTAGCAGTCAGAAAGCTACGATTAAATTTTGATAAACGATTTGTTTAAAGGCCTGAAAGAACATCTCTATTCTATCGTGAACTCGACACACTAATTCAGCAGCCAGATTGATAGCCGTGCACGTACGCATTTTGTCGTTAATAGGCGATTTCCGACGATGAATGTACAGGGTGCTTCAAAATTCTTGTTCAGCACAAAATTCTTCCACAGTGTAGAACATAATATTTTTTTTTTTTAAATCTCATAGACAAAGTCTCGTGCAAAATGATAGAGTGTTCATCGATTTCTCAAATACAACTTTCTTGAAATACAAATTTCTTGAAACAACCTGTGCATCGCTCGCGACGAAAGCCTTAAAGGATAGCTCTCGATTCGCAACGGAGTGCCGTACTTGGAAATGAAATAAAAAATATTCGAGTAAAACATAAACCACTGTCACTGTACCATAAATACGGTGGAAGGTTGTGCGTGTATTCTGTTTGGGAGCAAAAATAACTAGTGACGCATGCTCTCCGGATTCGGCTGGGACCAGACGCGACACATAGAAATAAACATTATGCACTTACAAACAAGTCACATCGTAGACCTGATAAATACTCGCGTAATTAACGCTCGCGAAAAACCATCGCAACAAATTTTTATTTGAAAATTTCATCAAATTTTCACAAATTAATGATCTTATTTTTACAAACTTTCTGGTGTATTATTTTTATCCTGAAAAATTTTTGTGTATAAAAATTTCAATTTGGAAAGATTCATTTTTTAACGTCTTCAATGTAGTAAATCTATAGTCGAACTTATAGTGAAATTTATGGTGAAACTTATAGTGAAATTTATAGTGAAACTTATAGTGAAGTTTATAGTGAAATTTATAGTGAAATTTATAGTAGAATTTATAGTTAAACTTTATAGTGAAACTTATAGTGAAATTCATAGTGAAATCTATAGTGAAATTCATAGTGAAACTTATAATGAAATTCATAGTGAAATCTATAGTGAAACTTTATAGTGAAATTTATAGTGAAACTTATAGTGAAATTCATAGTGAAATCTATAGTGAAATTCATAGTGAAACTTATAATGAAGTTCATAGTGAAATCTATAGTGAAAATTATAGTGAAACTTATAGTGAAATTCATAGTGAAATTTGTAGTGAAATTTATAGTGAAATTTACAGTGAAATTTATAGTCAAATTATAGTGAAACTTATAGTGAAACTTATAATGAAATTTATAGTGAAACTTATAGTGAAACTTATAATGAAATTTATAGTGAAATTTATAGTGGAATCTATAGTGAAATATATAATGAAATATATAGTGAAATTTATAGTGAAACTTTATAGTGAAACTTATAGTGGAAATTATAGTGAAATTAATAATGAAATTTATAGTGAAATTTATAATGAAACTTATAGTAAAACTTATAGTAAAACTTATAATGAAATTTATAGTGGAACTTATAGTGAAACTTATAATGAAATTTATAGTGAAACTTATAGTGGAATCTATAGTGAAATATATAGTGAAATATATAGCAAAATTTATAGTGAAACTTATAGTGAAACTTATAGTGAAACCTATAATAAAATTTATAGTAAAATTTATAGTGAAATCCGAACATATAATAAACCTATAGTAGCTTTCGATTATTTAACCGAATAAAATACGTGAAACCGGTAGTCGACGCGTTAATTATAGAGCGAATAGGGGAACCGTTATGAATGACCCTTTATGGTTGACGGGTAACAGAGCAGACCCGGTGAAATCCATGACCTTTACGTAATGAATGAACTGTCGGCGATGAACAAGGAGGAAAAAGGAAAGAAAAACGAGAGCCAATTAGAAGGCACTACCGCTCGATAAATGAGCCTACTCACCGAAACACCGACAGCTAGTCATGTTTCATTGATGAGCAGTGAATTGTGATACCATCCGTTGAAATAAGGTAAAAGGACCGAGAGCCGAGTGGGAGAATGAATGAAAACCAGAGAGAGAGAGAGAAACGAAAAAGGTGTAGCGTGGGAGATGGTCAATGAAAATGAGAGAACGTTGGCGGGGGAATGCAATTAATGACGCGTCAACTATCTACGTGTTTGTGAACGCGTTACGAAAATATCGTCAGACTGAGCTAAAAATAACCCTCGAAAATTAACGAGATTTCGTTCTATAATTTTCGAGATGAATTTTTTTTCACGATTCGGAAATTGAGGATGTGTTGGATAATTATGTATGACCTTGCTGATTTCAATGACCTTGAAATATGTGTTTCTGGTTTAATTTAAATGATGGTGGTTTCATTCAAGTTTTGTCAAAGATATTTTTACTGTACATACAAAGTCTATATTGTCTTAGGTTTTGAATTTTAAGTTTATATATTAAAATAGCAAATATAGTTGTATGTAATATATCCACTAAATCTGCTTTTCTTTAGGTATAATACAGCTATGTGACTTTTATACATTTACTTGATGTCACAGCAAGACATATGTGCAGCCATATATCTACTACACATACGTGACATGATTAAATGAGGACGGTGATATGTTAAACACTTACTATATTTATACTGTAGTATATTATAGTTTATTGTATTATGTTAGAGGTATTAAAAAAACAGATGACATAGTAATAAAATATACTTTATGTACTCATATGTGTACCACACATGTTGTAAATCCAACCCTAGATTTTTTATTATATTTTAAAAACTAACAACGACAGATGATTACATATGTGAGCAAAGTTGTTCAGAATGTTGACCTTGACGACATATTTCAAGGTCATAGAAATCGGTGAAGCATGTGAGATGCTATAAATAATTATTGTAATAAAAATATTTTTGCACATATCTCTGAAACTAAAGTTAAATGGAGGTGATATGTATAGGGAAAAATTGTACAAAATGGCGTACTTGAGGACATATTTCAAGGTCATTGAAATTGATGAAGTCTATATAATTTATTCTGTTGAATCCGAATTCTGTTGAATTCCCAATTTAAACAATGTTGAAATAATAAAAATATCTAAGAAGATTGCAAAAGTACTTGTCACTCTGAGACCAGAGTTAAGAATTATTTAAAACACTGCGTCTTAAATCAATTTCTAATAAAATTTTGTAATCATAAAATTTTTAAGTAGACCATATATCTTTTTCGTCATAAAAATTCATGCAGAATATTAACTTTATTCGATACACATCAAAGATGGATATAACCTTGACCGAATGAAATCCAATTGTGTCCCAACACCAGACCCATCTATGTCCCCGAAGAAAAATATTGAAAAGACGCGTTTCGAAAGAAAATTTCGCAAGGATTCGGCAATAGACTCGTCGGAGCGGAACAGATGCTGGAAAAGAACAAAACAGGAGAAATAGAAAAGAAGTAGAGAGAGAGAGAAAGAAGCGAGGGGGATAAAGGAACGCGAAGAAGACGGGGTAAAAGAAGGGAAAAAAGAAAAGGAAGGTAACGGAGAAAGTGGAGGGAAAGAGACACGGTGGTTCACGGAGAAAAGACGGACGACAGATGTTGCCAGCAAAAGAAATGCTGGTACAAAACGGGAGGAAGTCGAGAGGAAGAGAGAACACAGAGGGGTCCGAAGGAGAAAGAGGGACGCTTCCGGCATTAAAAACCGGCCGGCAGGGCACGGATCCTCTTCAGCCTCTCGTCATAACTGCGGAACGTTTCCCGAACAAGGAAACTCTAATTTATTAAGCTTACGCCTCTGTTAAAAGGTGATTTCCGCTTTTTGGATTAAAAAAAGTAATCGACTTTCTTCCTTTCTGAGACGGTAATTGCAACCTGTATGGAAGGTGATTCGAACAATTTGTATAGGGACTTTTAATCAAATTTGAAGTTAACCCCTTGACGAGTCTGACTCGTGTCGCACTCGTACCTCGGCCGTGATCAATTTTACTCAAATTTTTAATACGCTTCAATTTGAAGTTCAAGTCTAATTATAATTTGCATAGACAATAATTGAATAATAACGTATTGAAATAACATTTCAATTTTTTTGTCTATTTTAATTAGGCAGTTCTGTCTGACGCACCTGACAAATAAGCCATAGTGCAAGGGGTTAATGGAATTTATCGTGTTAGGGGTTATAATCCATGGAGTCCTATATCCCAAAATTTCTACAGTGTCAAATCTCTACGTTTCTATGTCCCTACACCCCCAAATTTCAAGGTTCCCAAATTAGTAAGTTCCAAAATTCTTACGTACTGAAATTCCTACATCCCCAAATTCCAACGCTCCATATTCCCAAATGCATAGATTCCCATATCCCCAAATTTCTACGCCGCCAAATCTCTACGTTCCCACATCCCTACACCCCCAAATTTCAAGGAACCCAAATCTCCACGTTCCAAAATTCTCACATCCCCAAATTTCTACATCTCCAAATTCTCATATCCCCAAATTCCAACGTTCCATATTCCCAGATCCATAGATTCCCATATCCCCAAATTTCTACACCGCCAGAATTGTACGCTCCCATATCCCTACACCCCCAAATTTCAAGGTTCCCAAATCTCCACGTTCCAAAATTCTCACATCTCTAAATTCCCATATCCCCAAATTCTAATGCTCCATATTCCCAGATCCATAGATTCCGATATCCCCAAATTTCTACATCGCCGAAATTCTACGTTCCCATATCCCTACACCCCCAAATTTCAAGGTTCCCAAATCTCCACGTTCCAAAATTCTCACATCCCTAAATTCCCATATCCCCAAATTCCAATGCTCCTTATTCCCAAATGCATAGATTCCCATATCCCCAAATTTCTACGCCACCAAATCTCTACGTTCCCATATCCCTACACCCCTAAATTCCAAAATCCCCAAATCTCCACGTTCCAAAATTCTCACATCCCTAAATTCCCATATCCCCAAATTCCAGCGCCCCATATTTCCACATCCTCAAATTCCTAAATTTCCAAATTTCTGAACTACCAAATCTCCACATTCCCAT